CCCAATCCATTTTGGCTACGAAGAAAATAAACAGTAATGCTCAATATTAAAAGCTATTATTAACTCCTATTATATTATTTTATGAGCTGATGAGGCAAAGTCATTTTTCACCAAGCAATTACCATATTTACTTGAATAGAAGACTACCCTGATTATAGGACAATGTGCCAACCCCCACATTATATTCTATATATGTAAAATTTATAAATTTGTTATAATTTTCCATGTGTAGAATCCAATTTGTCAAGGTTTGCCTAAATTTCAACATTTGCCTTGAATTTGTCCCCCTAGCACTGCTACAGCAGGGAAAATAAATCTGGGGGCAGATAGCCCTTCACTCTCTGCTTCCCCCCCAACTTTTTCTCCTGACAGCCCCATCCCCTTCTCCTTACCGTCAGACCCTGCTCTCCCTGAGCACATGGAAACGAGGAGCAAATTTGGAACAATAACCTTGACATTAAACATGGCTGTAGCAATTTACATATAGTACCCATGAATTTAGTTCATCCAGAATTGATGCATATTACCTTTTTTTTGAAACTGCTTGCAAGTTTTAGTATAGGTACTCCATAGGCACACTTTTGAGCAGCACTTTGACACCTACTTATATGTAATACAAACTAAGCATAATATGGGTCCAAAGCCAAAGAAGTCCCATGATTTATCATATAGTTCATTGGGCTGGGCCCCAGAGTAAACAGTATTTCAAGCCACAGTAGCCCCACAGCTAAACATGTGTGTATACTCCAGATACCCTCATGCAAAGGATCCATGTGCTAATTTGCCCCCCAATGACTAGAACAAGGCGTTGTTGTCACAAGTGCTGGGATGCTCCAAAAATTTATATGCAGGTGAGGCACAGGGCAACCTGGTCTGGCTTTACCTGATGGAGGGCTGGGCTACACTAATCATATGCACCAGGCTGAGAGAGGGGACCAACAGAGGGATTCTAGGAGAACTATATACAATGCTGTGGCTCACCATCAAGAGTCAGCAGTGAGGACAACTGCACTTAATGGGCACTACCATATGTTTTTATTCAGATGGGCTATGCTAACATATTCTTGTGGTAGGTTCAGCGTGTTTACCCAATGTGGGCCACGCGTTCTGTAGTCATGTTCAGTGTTGGCAGCATTTAATCAACTTCATATTGGTTTCTACTGCCAGATACATGCTGCTTCTGGCAAGTTTAATGATAAACAACATAGTTAGTGAGATTTGTCTGTATGCAATAAGATAAGTATTTTTCTCCATGCCAGTTAAGGAAAAATCGTCTTGTATTCAAGTAAATGTGGTATTTTGACATAATCTGTATCAATGTGGTGACGCTTCTGATCAAAAATTATTTTCATGTAGAAATACATAATCCATGACTTGTAACACATTTTAAGTAGACCAGCCAGAAGATATGTTACTTTCTCTGAAAGTGTGGTCCTGCGTATTTGGCATAAATAAATTGATAACAAATATTATTATTTTTATTAATAATAAATCCCCATCTCTTTGGAAGACAAAAGGAGCTCTTAGTGGCATTATGTTCACCATTTATTTGTAGTTCTCTCCAAATAATTATTTTGCAATATAGCAGACAATGTCTTTTGAAGATACTAATCAGTTTTCTTAGCAACAATATGCTAAGAAAATGCAGCATTTTCAGAACTCCAGGAAAAGATCAGTTCTAAAACAGGGTGAAATCCTATATGTCTGAGCAGCAGCTAGTATAGAGGCATCTCATCCCGTTTGGGCCCTTACAATGCTACTGCAGTAAAAATTCTAAATTTTAATAGGCACGGACAACATTCACTATGATTTTTAGTCTACCACCACCGAAGAACAGGACAGATAATTAGTAACAATATTTTTATTAAAAGGAAATAAATTGAAAGTCAAATCAGAAATTCCATAAGGAACACTGCATCTTCCAGAAGCAGTAAGTGAATAATTTGCATGACTATGGACTTGAGGCACCACAAATGAGACTATTATAACTAGTACCCCAGCCACTCCATCCACCAATCCATACTCCAAAACTGTCCATCCACCCAAAAGCCAGAACTGGTCAAGGAGGAAACTGACACACAGCCCTGCAGCCTGGGAATACAAGAAACCAAGCAGTACCCCCACTGCCTGTAGCCTTACAAGAAAAACACTACAGGAAAAGACAGAGCCAGCACAAAGTCCTAAAAAAAGATGAGGGAAGCAACTAAAGCTAGGACCAATGGACACTAACAGCAGCAAGAGGGAGTTTGTCATTGCTGTTTGTTTCTACTGGGTCTTCTCTGCCCTGTGTGAACTTTGCTGTTTCAGCCAACCTGCTTCTGTCCCCTCCCCATTTTATCACAAATCACTCTTCACAGTGCCTTTTATCTCCCTCTCTTCCTCTGCCCTCCTCCCCTAGGGTCCTCTCCATTCACTTTCCTTTCCCAAAATCCATCCAGCCGCCCAAAACATATCCCTAGTTGCTCTTCTCTATTATACCCCTTCCACTCATCCTACAGACCTTAGCTATTTCGACTATAAAGCTCCTCAGGCCAGGGTCTCATTTAGTCACCTTTACATTACATATATTATCTGGCATGATGGGACGGACCCCTTTCTGGGGAGATCTCTAGCTGTTACTATCATAAACGATTACAGACAGCAAGAGTAGGATGATCATGTGTCTTGGTCTGACTAGGATAGTCTCAGATTTCGAAGGCCGGTACCAGCTGGGTGGTAAAAACAAGAGTCCCTGAATCATAGGCGCTGTCAGGTAGGGTGGCATGGTGTGCGAGGCAGCTCCATCTCCACATCAGACTGTGCCCACACCCCTGCCTGCTGACTTGGGTGGGTGGGGGAGGGGGAAGCAGTGGCTCAGATGTCCTGGATTTCCTTATGGTCACCCTAAATAAGAGTGTTACAAGATGTACAGACAAGGCATTATATGCTGAGTAACGTTAAACTGGGCCTCGTACCAGGTATTAATTCCAAGAGTAGGACATGGTTACTCCTTAACCAATAAGGAATTTATTAATCCTTTAGCAGTTACAATTCTATTACTTTAGTTAGTTGAATGCAATACAACATAACATGCTCACCACCCTAAGACTTAATGAATGAAACATCACACAGTCCACGAGGTCTTGTCCAGAGTTCCCATCTGAGTTCTGAATCTCAGATCAGTGACCAGATCTTTCAGGAGTCGGTTCAGAAGGTTACATTCTCTCACCAGGAGCTTTACATAACAGATAGCTTGCATTTCTTAATACGTAAAATTATCTTAAGCCTCCCTCCTAATGCATATTAATAATCTTGCTTCTGCTTGCCAAATATGGCTAGCCTTAACTGGAATTTTCTATTCTGAGGTAATCTTTTCATTCCTGGGGGGGGGTAAGTTTTGTTCTGACTGTTCCTCTTTTGCCTATGCTATATTTATTCAATTTAGTTAGCCAACTTTCTAATTCATTTTAAATTAGGGACAGTATTTTTCCATCTGCTCCTTTTTACTGGGTGCAAGCCTTGACCACAACTCAAGCTAAGCATACAGCTTAAGCTAAACACAAAGGTCAAAACCCGGGTATGAAGGCCTCTGGGTCCCAAAAAAGGCAGCTGCTCCCCTGAAGATAAGGTGGCCACTGACACATGCTCAAAATACAAAACAGAGGTAGCACCCTTGGCCAATCAGCAGCAAGGGGTGGGGCCACCAGAGGAAGTGTACCTTCCTCCTGCCCTGGCTGAGAACTCTGTTCCTCCTGGCTGTGCACCGCCCTCACTCTAGGGACAGCCTGCAGAATTTCGAGGACAAGTGATCGACATGGATTTCTACTGATGAACTGAAAAACAAGACTTTCTGCAGTCCGTTCCTCATTACGAAACAGACAGAGGACAGTGGGTTTTAAAACAGGACCAACATCCACCCTAGTTGAACAGCCTGCAGTTTCAGTACAGCTAGTGCCTGTGGTGAGATGTGCAGGAAGTCACCAGCTCCTGCCTGCCTCGGCTCTGGGTTGCCTCGCTTGGGACCATGGCCCTGCTCCTGGGCAGGCCCCCCTTGGCAGGAACAGCAGACAGTACCATCGGCTGAAAGAAGATTGGGAACCTCTAGGGACAGGCAGGCGCTCTCAGCCGAGCAGGGCATGGGCCTCGGCTCCTTGACTGCCCGGCAGGTGCCCTCCCAAGCCCCCACCCGGGGCTGACGGAGGATGCTAGGTACTTCGCTACGCGGAGTCCCTAGTGAGCCACAAAAGGGGCCAAGAAAACCCG